ACAATACCCAAGCGAGGCAAAGGCACACTGCACGTGCCCGATTCCAACGCGAGGGCTGCCAAACTCACCACGAACACCAGATGAGCAGCAGCAGTTCTGGGGCTGAGGGTCACCTCCTGCAGGCTTGTGCTGGGAAAGATCAAGGCTTCCAGAACTCACACTGAAGTTCCTTACCTGCATCGTCTCCCCTTCTGCCACGGATTCGGCCATCCCTCCAGAGGACCACGTTCCCTGACTCCTTGCAGCCTGCAGCCAGGCTTCAGGCATGGATTGCACTGCTCCTCTGCCACAGCCGCTTTTCCCAGCCCCGGCATGAGGCCCTTTGAATTTGCACTTACCCATCCCAGCCAAGGAGTGTGCTGCACGGGACCTGAGAGCACACAACACCCACCCTGGGAGAGGTTGGGCAGGAGGCAGCTGCCCCAGCCAGCAAAACCCAGTTATATTTGAAAAAAACCACAGAATCTTCAGAGTCCTGCACACAAACGTCTCCGAGAGCTCAGCAGCTCTGCCAGTGCCTGCACGTAGCTCCAGGGACCTTAGAGAGCTTTCCTCATCTGACACCTCAGCCTGTTTCCCCAGCACCCTCCAAACCCCTCAGGGAGTTGCTACGTTTATTTTAACCCAGGAAGCTGTAGCCTCAAGCTGTTTTGCTCCAGACGGGGATCAGCCCTGCATGGATCCCACTGTGGAGTCCTGGAGCATCCCTGGGAGCGCTGGGGCTCAGCCAGTTCCAGGAGCTCCTTGTGCTCACCCAGGCAAAACCTCCCACCCCAGAGCCCGTGGGGCTGACCCACAGAAAATCTCCAGGCAGGGCTGAGCACCCTGATGGGGCTGGGATCAGCAAACCAGTGCCTAGTGGGATGAGGCAGCGTTGCCCTGGTGTGCACATCCCAGGCACACTGGCTCCTTTCCAGGATGGCAGCTTTCACCTCTTCATCGAGGACAAAACTTTCCATGGGGAAAAAAGTACCTCCTTCAAAGAGCATGTTGGAAACAGGCTGGAAACGGACAGGGCTCCCACTTTCCTGAGTGGATTTAACAGCTGCCTTTGCCAAGGGCTCTTCCTGTTGCTGTAGGGCCAGATGTCATCCCTGAGAGCTGCAGAGACACCCATCAGGCCACGAGCTGAACTTCCCAGGCACTACTTCCATCCCAGAAGAGATGGAGCTGCATCGGTTTTTAAGCAGCACAATGGACTGAAAGTAATTCTGGCACGATAAAGGCACAGTCATCAAATGAGGATGGAAACCCAAAGCAACTTCACACACCAGTGATGTCCCTGGGGTCGAGCTGATCTCCCTGGCCCAGCAGAGCCCACAGGATGTCGCAGTGAGCGGGAGCACCTGGTTCCCTGTGGTGGAACACCCACGTTATTTCTTGTCAAAAAGCAATTCCTGAACCCACACGAGAAGCTTGGAATGATCAGCTGGTGCAGAAAAATCATGAGCACCGGGAAGTCCAGGTCAAGGAAAGGGCTTCGGGAACACAAATTTGCAAATCATCTTTTAGCTAAACGGTTTTTTAGACCTTAAACACCGATTTATTTTTTTTTCACCCATCGAGAGGAAATTAGCTCATCCCACCTCTGAGGCTGGTTTTCCAGGTGAAGTTGTATCCAGCAGCCGTATCCTGAGCGTCCCTCACAAACAGATGATAATCTCTGCAGAGGTTCGGGGCTGTGGAGGGATTCCCATGGGAGCTGTGCCAGCACAAAGGGGCTTCTCGAAGCAGCGCAGGGGAAAGGGCCGCTGGAGGAAGCCCCGTGCTGTGTGGATGCGCTGAGCAGAGATTTCATTCCAGCCAGCAGGGATTTTTAACTCGTGCCTGGAGACGTGACACATCCGCACCAGCAGAGGGAGAGCTGCTCGGCGTTTCTCCTCCGGACCCGTGCTGATTAAAGGGTTTTAACACGGTACCAGCAGCAGCATACACAGCACATAGCGAGCACGATGCTCCAGCCAGGCACCCCAGGTCTGCGCCTCTACGGCCTCCAATTATTTGAAACATAGAGGCAAACCTCTATTTCTAGCTGAATGGTGATGGAAAGCAGGAGCTTTCCATGGAGGATGAACCCTGGGAAGCTCACAGTTGTCAGGGTGCTTTAAAATTACACACACACACACACACACACACACATACACAAAAATCCATAGTTCTGGAATTCTGCAGAGTTGCCTCAGTCTTTTCAACAGCAGGCAAGGAGAACTGTTTTTTTAAATCAGGTTAAGGATGCATCTGTGAGGAGAGGAGCCTGGCCAGGAGGATGGGGATTGAATTAGATCAGCATTCTTCACCCATTCAAAACCAACTTTCACATCAGCTCTCTGGAAAAGGCAGCTGGAGCAGAGAACTGCTGCATCTCCCTCCTCCAGCCACCTCCCAGCAGGCATCATCCTTCCCTCTGGTCACCACGGGGCTGTGAAGCCAAGAGTTAATTTCCTCAAATCCGAGGGAATGGGAAGGGTCAAGTTTTTGAATCAACTTATTAAACTCCTTTGAACCAATTTATTAAACAAAATCACCCAGGATGACGTAGTGATTGTCAGGTAGACACCATTCCCATGCAAGCACTGTGTAGGATAACTGGGGATGGCTGAAAGTTCAGTACAGCCCACAAATTTCCTCGCTAAATGAGAACTGCTCTCCGGTATTCCCAAAGACTCTCCTGGTTTTATTTAAACCACCCGAAGTTTAACCATGCTTCCATCACCTCCAGCTTTCCTGGACAGCTTGTATTTCAAGCCACCACAACATTTACAAGACACCAAGAGTAAAGAAAGATTACTTCTGTCATCAAAGTAGAATTCCCACCTTCCCAGCTCACTCTCCACCACAAAGCAATTTCAGCTTTAACTTTCCCATCCTTCTCCAGCAGCCAGCTCCATCCTGCCAAGCTGCCCCTCCTTTCCCTTCCTCTCTTTGTACACAAACCCATCCTGAAAACACACCTCGCTTTCTATCTTACCAAAGCACGTCAATCAAGACAGACCCAGATTTAGGCAACAGCGACATGGAGCAATTGAACCGTGTGCAGGACCCGACACTAGAGTGTGCTGTGTAGGAAATAACGCCTCGAGAGCTCCCTTGAAACCAGCAGGAACACCAAAGAGCGGGATGAGTCCCTTCTGGCCCCTGGAAATGCATAAAGCTTCCTCGGAAATTCCTGGTGAAGGCAAAGAGCTAAACAAAAAACACTGAATTTTGGAAAAAGAAAGCCGAAAAAATGTCCAGGACAAGGAAATAAAACAAAACAACAACAACAACAATAACAAACCCCAACAACAAACAAAACAAAAACAAAACAAAAACACACCAAAACAAACGACAACAAAACCCAAAAACCAGTGAGGAGAATAATATCAGATATTGCTCTGTCTGTCTTAGTGGACTGTTCAGAAAAGCAGAGGTTTATATTCACGATATAAACCTGCTTTATCCTCTTCCCTCCTTTGGTTTATTTGAAGTATTGTGATAATTAGGGTTTGCATTTTGCCTGCAAGCCCGGCTGGGGCTGGAGAGACTGCAGAGAAATGCTCAGGACAAAGGAACACCAACAAAAACCCCGGAGCTCTTGGTGACTCCCAAGTATTGTCCCCAATTCACTAAGAGAAGCAGGCGAGGCACAGATGTTCAGCGCCTCTCCAAAAGCTCAGGCAGGCAGCTCCCAAGCCAGAATCACAGCTCCACCTATTTCCACCTTGGGATTCGGCATCTGAGGGACAGGCTTAGCTTACATAAGAAAATGAAAAACATATTAGACAAAATCTGTTGGTT